CTCGCCATGACTGGTGTAAATGGCTATTTCATAACGTTGCGATTACACTGAAAGGCGATTCGTTAAATCCGACGAAGTGGAGGAACGCATGATGAAGCAAGAGAAGTGAAAATAGTTTATAGTGATATAAAGAAGGATAGAAATATGGTATTTGATTTTATATTTTTCCTTAAAACTTATTAATTTGTAATTCAATATATCCAATATAAAAATTGGAACGACACATTGATTTTTTGATAAGTAAAAAAAATAGTAATAATTTCAAAGTTTGTATTTAGCGAATATAATAAATTTTTTTACCTCTGCTTTACTGATGGCGGAAAAATTCGGATTAAGGTAATAACGAATCCCTTCCAGACTTCCTGGTAACGTGACGCCTCGTATAAGTAGAATTAATAGAACAGCATAAGGAAATAGAGCCGTGAACCAAACTACCTAACAAACAAATAAATTGTTTCATTGTAATTTGATGAAATAATAATTTCAAGTATTTTTCATTACTCATTTCAATTCATTAAAAGATGGTGGTAATTGGAAGAATTATAAAAGTTTTAAATTAATAATACAATGATCAAAACTTAATCAGTGATAAATTTTTAATAAAATAATTTTTCTTAGAAATATCCATAAACTTATGAATCGAGATTTATATTAATATACAAATTTTACCTTGCCAGAAGTAGAAATTCCCTTCCACAAGGAGAAGTAACAAATCAGATAGACCATCAGCAGGCATAATGCAATATCCCATTTAATTGTTCCAAGATCGTGTAAACCCTCGCTTTCGTGAAGTTCTAGAATAGCTCGGCTTTAAGTGAAATTATTGAGTTAATTATAAATTTTACTTTTCATTAAGTGATATCCTATTGCCATTTAAAATTATCAAAAATTTGATTTGGAAATAATTAATTAAAAATAATATTTCATTTTTAATTTAAAATTTCTTAAATAATAATAAACTTAATATCAAAATAAATATTATAATATATATATATAAATAAGTATCTGAAATATGTATACTTAAATAAAGAATTATTCTTGAAATAGCTAATCTTCTTACAACAGTAGTATTGATAAATTTATAGTCAGACATGGCAAGGTATTATATGGTTTTCTTTGAATATCATTAAAAAAATGTTTGAAAAAATATGCATTATCAATGAATACCGCCTAATTATTTGAATTTTTAAATATTTTTATGTATGTATGCACATTAATAAGATAATATTTCTTTTATGCACATATTTGCAAAACTTTTATAAATCTGTTATATTTTTTTTACAGTTTTGTATTATTATTTGAAACTGGATTTTTTTGAAGAAATTCAAGTCATTTTACACATTATACTCACTTGAAATATTCTTGAGCAGCGCTTGTGTACCACGTGCTATTGTATCCTTGATTCGAATTCCTATCCAAACGATCCTCGATCAGAGATGAATTGCCAGGATATGTGGAGTCGAGCGTGTCGACGAAATGTGCATCGTCGAACATGTAAGAAATGTTTGTGTCAAATGTACGACAATGTAAAGTGTTCCATGGATTGTCGCAGGTAGTCCAAGGTAAAAGACTTGCGAACGAGGCGAAGAAGTACCTCAGTGCCCAGGCGATGATCACATTATAATAGAAATCGACGTAGAATGCAATTAATACCACTGCGTAGCCAATTCCTACGCACAAATAAAAAATTATATATAAAAAGGTATTTGATTATGTCAAAAAATTTAATTTAAAAGGTAATTCTTGGAAAATAAAAAACTAAATTAATTAATAGTTTTGCTTTTTAATTTTAATAATAATTAGCACGATAAAATAATTGATCTTAAAAATTAATCAGAAATTTCTTTTTCCATAATCACAAATTACCACGTAATTTTCAAACTAACAATAATAATAAATGACGATAAATTTAGAAATCAAAATTGACACGATTTTACAATTTTTAAAAACTTACAATTATTAAAAATTATTAACCCAAAATATTCAAGAATTATCTCGCAAACATCAGAAGACTTCTCTCTCCCTCCCCCCCTTAGTTTTCAAGATAATAACTTTTAACCTATATATCATATAATAAGAAAAATTCATTTCAAAGGATTAAAAAATCTCCAAGGACGTGTCCTTATGTCCTGGTTCCCAGCCGGAGAATATTCCATTATCCTCCCGTGGGGAGGCCGTATCTTCACCGTCACGAATCAATTACGTCGTTCATCGATGCGGATCAAAAGGGAAAAAACGCGCGTAAGACAAGAGAGTCGAGAGAGAAAAAAAAAAATCTGGTTCCATCGATCATCTCACGCCAGGGTAGCCCGAGATTGAGATCGTCACGATCCAGGAAATCGGCGGAAATGGGGGACTACTTCTCGAGTGGTCTTCCATCCTCGGATTTTCCCGGATTTATACCGCGTTACATAATGTACCGTGTGGGGAAGAAAGGAAGAAAAGAAAATATAACGTCTAATGTCTAATGCACGGTTTCCGGTGAAGATGACGGTAAAGTGCTTTGAAACGTTTTCCAGAAATGTTCTGAGAGGCAATCGGAATAGTAATTGGCCAGCAGTGCTGTTACCTCTATTGTTGATGAAGTCTATTCGGTGAATGGTATCGAGTGGATGGGGGTATTTTTAACGCGATTATTTCAAAGCTGGGTGATTTTTTTTTGTAAAAAAGTATTGAGAACAGTTATTGAAATTGTCTTTGATCGAAAGGAGGTGTGTAAGTGATGCATTGTATTTTGTTTTCGAATTATTAAAATAAAATAGTAAATATTTATTAATCTTTTCAAAAATGAATTATTCAAAGATAAAATTCTAAAGAGATAAAAATGTTTTATAGGAGAGATTTTTTCGTTATAAAGTGAGAGGTAATTTATTATTGAAATGTTATTAAAATAAATTTTAATAATATTTTAATAATTTTTTTAGTGTTATTCATAGATATATTTTTATATAGAATAGAGCATATAATTTTAATATTTTTGTGATTAACTTGTTATTAACTTGCAGGTGAAAAATAATGGAAATTCGTCTTACTTACCTTTTAAAAGTGGTACCAAACGACCCCAGCAAGTGATCGCACCTTTTCGATTGAACTGACCCAAGGCAAGCTCCATATAAAACAATGGAATACCTCCTACTACTAACATTATACAATATGGAACCAGGAAAGCGCCTGTGAACACAATTCACAACATTTTTGTGAATTGTAGTCATTTTTTATTAAGAACTAATAAAAATTTATTTAAACAGAACAGTATCAAATATAATATAAAAATATAACATAAATAAAAGAATAATTTTTTTTAATTTTTTGAATAACATTTAAATATTGATTAGATAACAAATTAATATTTGACAATTGTGATAATATATCTTACAAAATATATTTGTTAATATTTTCAATATTTTAAAATTGCAATAAAAATTGCAATAAAAGAAATAATATTTGATTTTGAAAAATTTCTTGTTGGTTCAGAATTGCAATTAATTTCTGATTATTAAAAATCTCTCGAATACTTTTCTGTCACATATTGAATAAATATTGAAATGAAATTTCATCAGATAATAATTGGAAAATCGTTGTTTAATATCTTTAGTAAAATCGAACGCGTTCAATTTATATTTGCAAACCACTGGTGGGAAACGTCCGGATTCTTATCATCGTTGATGACATCTGCCGTGTGACAAGAGGCCGATATGAAGAGCGAGAAAAAAAAGTGATGTGCGAGCCACTCGCATCATCGTGTTAGCTGCATAACTGAATTGCAGAATATTTAGAGCACCAGTGGCAGCAAGGTGCTTTTAGGTATACGTAATTCGATAGTGAATTTTCGAAAATGTAGCAGAGCAATGGATGAAATGGTGATTTTGATAAAGCTGATTTATCAAACGATTAAACAGATATTAATATTGAGGATTTTTAAATAAATAATATTTATACAGATTATATAAAGTAAATAAATATTAAATATATTTTTAAATATATTATATAGTACAATTTTTCTGGCAAAATTGATATCTGTTAAAATAAATAAATATATACAAGTTGCAGTTTATATGAATATTTAATAAAAACAATTGAAAACTAGTATAATAAATGTAAGTGCAATAATTATATTAATATATTTATTTTAATTATATTAATATATTTTTATTTCTTTTTACAATATCAATTAAAATAGAAATATTATTTTTTATATTATTTATTATTAAATATCAAAAAAATTGATAATCAAATATTTATACAATATAACTTTTCATTTTGATTTAATATTTATCTTTCTGTTCTTTTCAAAATTCTACAATACAATAATAGAGAAAAACAATTTTTGAAATTAAAAAAAATGTTGAGAAGAAACATACAAGTACATACAAGTAATTAAAACGAGTAATTTAGAAGAAATAAATTGCAACAATAAACTATATAAATTTAATCATTCAAATAAATTTTTAATTTGCAGAAATATATTCATAAAAGTTCATGTATCCGAAAAATTTTAAGAAATGAATATTCATAGAGATATTATTTTTTAACAATAATCTTTAAATATGAATTTCCTCTGATATGTTGCACGCACATTCCTATCCATTGTTCTGCCTTCGTTTTTTCCAATAAATTCTTCTCCGTAACCACGGAGACATAATCGCATTAGGTAAGAATATTCCTTTCTTATGCGGTTGCCTTGATAAATCTTTTCTTTTCTCGGTCACGAACAAATTCAATATTATTGCTTTTGTAATATCTTTTGTTCATTCGTGTATCAAGTAAAAATTATTATAAGTCACTTTTATCAACTATTTTGTCATGAATTTGTCAAAAGAATATTTTCAAACATTTTTCCTTGTGAAATTTTTTTTTTTCTATCTTCATTGATATTCGTAATGCTGTTTACTATTCATCAATTATATTTCTATTATCATATTTACGAGTATCAAAGTTATAAATAAGAATGTGCTTATAGAAAAATTCTTGGAAATCTGTTGCAACATTTTTTTTAAAATGTTACATTTAAATATATTTTATTCAAAATATTTATCTTATCCTATTGTAAAATTTGTAATATTGTGAATTATCATCTGAACAAATGACAAAGAAAAAAAAAAGAAGCATCATATTAATCAAATTTCAAAAATGTTTAACTAACAACAAAATGTTCTCACTCAAAAAATACAAAAGAAACGATAAAAACAAATTTTGCTATATTTTCTCAATAATAATAGTTAAAGTACATTATTGATAAATTAATAGCTAAAATACTTTAGTTATTAAGTCATCTTTTATTATGAAGTGAAAATTTAATAGCTCTTATCAATTTATATATTTACAATAGAAAGATACAAGTTATTTACAAAAATATAATTTATAATAAATATGTAATTTATTTTATGAAAATAAAATATTTTAAAATAGTAGTACAACTTTTCATCATAATATTTTACTATATATAATTCAAATACATTTTCACAATATGATTTATTTGCATAAAAATATAGAAGGATAATTATAGTTATAGAAGGATATAGTTAGTCATCAATTAAATAGTTGACGTAATAACTTAGTAATTGATATGCATAATGTATATTTAAATTGCAAACTCGAATCAAATGATTTAATCATCATCGATTAACTAAGAAACGCATTATATATTTATTATCACTAATATTTGTTGAATAAATAGTGGAATAAATTATATTTAAAACAATATCAATGTTTATAAATATTTAAATTTCTCAAATTTAATTTAACAACGAATTGCAAAATTGAATCCAATTGAATTCAAGGACAAAATGTCTTTGAAGGTGATTTTATCCTCAAAGGACTGAAATTAAACGGAAATGTTATTCAAACTCAGACATTCGTTTGTGACATGCTGAAAATGTCTCTTTAAATGTATTAATGAATAGATACATATGTATGTATATTATCAAGGAAACTGGAATACAAAAATCCTTATTAAAAAGTTACTTACTGAATTACTGAATCAAATATTATTTCTTTAATTCATAAAATAGTTCTGATATTTTTATTTCCAATAATTTGTTATAATTTTTTTTTGATAAATTTTCCTGCATATTTGATCAGAAACAATAAATTTATAATAAAACAAATACTATTAAACATAAAACAACATTATGTAACGTATTAAATAATTTGAAAATAAAAAAGATTAAAAAAAATTAATCATTCATAAATATTGTTCCAATATTTATATATATATATATATATATATATAGAATATAAAAATTGTTAAATGCTTTAAATAATTATCATTCTACGTTTGGATAATCGATCATTTGGATAATCTAAATTGAGATCAATATTCCATTATATCGAATTAATAATAAAATCAGAAAAACGATAAATAAAAAAATTATAAATTTTTATTTTTTTACAATTTTTTATTTTTATTAAAAAAAAATCAAAATTTTATTTTTTCTAAATTTTATTTTTTCTAAAATTTTACGAAGTACTTTATGAAAATAATTACGAGCCACATTAATCCAAAAACGATTTTAATTGCGTTGTTCAGAATTTTTTTTTGCAATAAGGAAATGAAAGAATGACTGTGAGGGAAATTCGCAAATTTCCGTAAAGAAAGCGCGAAACGCAGGAACGGAATGATGCGACATAATGGATCGCGTACAGTGACATGCGCCAGACAGAGGCGTCGCGGACGTCCATGATCAAAGGCCAGCCCGAATGGGAAATTATAATTAATTAAGGTAATTGGAAATTAGCGACCGATCTTCCCGGTACTAATGGTGCGCCCTACTCTCCTCTTAATTGAGTTAGCAGCCGCTTTTGAGGAGTCATGGTATCGCTGATAGCTGGTCCTAATCGTATTCCTACTAGGGACTCGATAGAACAAGGGAGGGGTTAATAGAGTCGTCTATGTCGTCATCGAAAAGTCTATCATTTTCCAAGTCGTTGTGTATATTGCTTGCAAGAATTATTATTAGAAAGTTTGTAAAAGAATGGCGAATTAAGTAGAAACATGTTTGATTTATAGTAAACATTACACGTGATAAGCAATTGAATGCAATCAAATGAAATATAGTTTACAAAAGTTTTTTAGTTATTAGTGATAATGAAAAAATGTTCTGGAATTAAGAAAATATTTTTTGGGTCATTTGTATGTAATCAGAAATAGTAATTTTTTTGTAGAATATTTTTAGTAAAAATTAATGTGATAAAAATGAAGATTCATTTAACAAATCAATGAACTAAAAATTTAATGTTATGTTACATATTGAGAAATACTTTCGATCTTAACTATATAACCTCACTTTTAACAAGTACACTATATTTAAGATACACCGCATAAGAAATAAGAAATTCCTATTTCAGATTGAGGAAGATGATACAATTTAACCAAACAGTTAAATCGAAAATATGAAACGATATAACTAGAGTAAAAATTAGATTTACCGTGGACGATCCAATCTTCCAAGTCGGTACATGACCCTTAAATTGCTTTTTCGCTTTAATTTGGGCCAATTTTGAAACTTGCAGATGCTTTCACGGATAAGAAGCGCAGAGTGAAATCTAAATCTCAGGGTCATTTTCCACGAGGTAAATGCCAATTAGTCGACCGGTTAACGCGGTATTGCCTGGCTGCTGGAGTGCATTACTTGATGCATCCCCCATTGCAGCTGTGAAATAACGCCTTACAACGCTACCAGATGGCAACGTGTTAAAATGATAGAATATTCTATTAAAAAATTTTGATTCCATGAAAAATAACATAAATATATAGATAACATAATATATTTAATCAGAATTTGGATGTTAAATAATATATTTAAATGACTATTTAGATTATATGTCATCTTATTTGTCTATGTATGATTTTTAAAATAATTAAATTATTAGAGATTAAAAATTATAGATTATTTCATAAATTATAGTATTAATTATAAATTATCTTTAAAATAATTTTGAAATTATATTATTTTATTAATATAATTATTCATCGCTGATTCATTGTTATTCAGTGAAGTTTCAGATGTAGAGATTAATAATTAAGCAATTTGTTATAATAATATTTATTTACTCAATCAATCGTGATGTATAATAATTGACGATTTAAAGAAACGATCTAATCGTTGTCGATTATTATTCTGTTCATTTCTTACGTATACGTTAATTTGGAAAATCGTCGAATATATTTGTTATTATAGTGCGATTCAAATGAAAAATACTGAGATAACCGTGAAATTAATAATCATGAAGGAAAAATCTTACAGACAGTATATAGTTATTATAATATAGGAGTATGATTGAAATATTGTGAAATATTGATCTGATAACTAAGAAATAGAAAAGATTATGCAATTACTAACATAGAAGATTATGATTCATATCAAAACAAACTCATTAAAAATTTATAAACAAGAAGTATCGCGAGAAAAATTTTTTAATAATCTTCTAATAAATCTTTAAGAATTCATTTTAATTTCAAAAATAATTTTTGAAATAATTTATAAATTTTATGATTATATTATGATGAATTAGATAATTGACAAATCTTTGAATATACTCACCGCCACCATTTTTATAACATAGGTAAGGAAATCTCCAGACATTTGCAAGATCGACGGCAAATCCGATGACAGAGAGAAGAAAATCGACTTTGCCGGACCACGTTTCCCTGCCGTCGACGCTGCCGTTCAACTTTGGCGCATTCTTCACCACCCTCGACGACATGTCTCAGTTTCCTTACAACAAAGAATTCCATTAATTAATTTTAATTGTAACTAATAAAATTTTAACAATCTTATATTTAACATGCTAATCGAAGATTTTTTCAATTTTTCATATATCAACAACTTCGCTATTCAAAACCAATAACTTCGTTCAGAAGGATTCAAATCTACACGCACCACGTCATTATCTTAATTATCTTCGCTATTGATGAACCGATCAAAATCTCTTGCTACGAATCGAGCAACGAATTATTTTTAATCGTCTTCCTGTAAATTTTATGAAAACGTAACACATATCCTTCCACTTCAGACATTCAATTATATTTATATTAAAAATCGAATTTTCTCAAAACGATTATGCCTAGATATAGATTTGCTGATATATCTCCATCGACCAATTCTGATATTAATTGAGCTACATACGTAAAAGATCGAAGATACGAGGTAAAAAAAGAGGAGGAGGAGGGGGAGAAGGGGGTAGAAGAAAAGAGGATGGTGATTGGAGGCGCGTGCGGGCGCGGTCACGTGTAATTTGGCGACGACAAGTTATCGATAGCCCTTCAAGCGACAACGCTTAACCCCCAAGCGAGGCTCATTGTGCCCTGGTGACGGGTCCCGGACAAACAGCGTATATTTCAAAGGCGGCCGCAGTGCCGGCTTCGAGGGGGCTCTCGACGAGGGGTTTTCTGTCACACGCACTGATCCACGCTTGTCTATAGGATCGACCCGATTAATTGATATTCGGCGGTTATTGCCGAACAACGATAGAACTCTCTTTCTCTGTCTCTATCCCACTCTCGGTTACGTTATGTATGTACTCGTTCCCCGTGTTTCTCTCTCTTTTTCTCTCCCTCTCTGCGAACAGGTGCGATGAAAAATTCTGCTTTGGGGTATGATGCTTCTTTTTTTTTTTTTTTTTTTTTTTT